TTAGCTCTGCTCTTAAAAGCCCCTAGTTGGCATCCTTACCGATGGAGACGGAAATTCGTGAGGTAGGGTGAGGTGTGACATTTCTAGTGTGTCCCTATCATTCCGAGTCCTTACTGTCCCATTCATTCGGACGGCGCAGAAGCGACTATCTACAGGGATTCAGTCTAGGAGCAGTAGTTCTGCCCTACGACTCAATGATATACGTAAACCAGCGAGACTCCGGGAAGCAGCATCAGGGCTACCGGGTACACGAAGATTAAGTCTAGTTGCTTCTTTATTTTGACAAGGTGAAATGAAATTAATAATTTTACTAGGATCCTGTATGCGCGTTTCCGAGACGCAGCATACGTCGATGGCACGAGATTCTAATTCCTAGCCAAGGAATACGGAAATTAAAATCTTCAACTTGTATTCAAGAACAGGATTTCAGCAAATCAAGAATATCATTCCATAAATTCGCATCGTTTTCACCAGCGGTGCAGTGTGAAAAAGGAATGTCAGAACAGTTGGGGGGCCTTGGGGATGTAGGAAGGATTTGATTTTGACCAATTTGGTCTCTCCTGCTGTTACGAGTATGAGGGCGGTTGTCACTTCCCGGCTGCCCACACCGTAGAAGGTTTTTTTTAAGGAACCTGAAAAGGGAAGGTAAGTGTGACATTTATGGGGTTGACATTTTCTAACACTTCCTACCTTGTGAGAAAGCAGCATCGCTGCAGGTGCTGGTTGTCCTAAAGAAACACCCTACTGCTGTCAAACCCCACTGCGACTTCATCCTCGGACCTTGAGTAGCTGCTGTTAGTCCCATCGTTCTCCAATCAACCTACCTGGTGTAGTAAAACCGTCGTGAGCGTATGTAACAGCGAATAAAGCTCGGCTGAGTCATGACGATAGGCAAGCTCGACCACCTCGTCAACGTAGCAGCTTCGGTCAAGAACGAACTAGGAAATGTACGTCATACAACAGCAGCTATTCAGTTATTCAAAAGCTTGTATTAAGCAAAATTTTTATAAAGCGTAATCTCGTTTGGAAATAATTATATCAAAGTCCATAAATTAGATATGGGAATTTCCATCTGTTCAATCCTCATTCCAGCATGATAAAACACCTATGATGCAGAATCTAAGACTGCGATGTTATATCAGTGAACGATTTTGAAAGTCCCTGAAAGTAAAAGTTAACTAACGCTGCCTTATTTCAACCTCTATAAATTATGTCGAATCATTGATTAGATGACCTCTGAGTGGCTATCAATTTTATTCATATCAAGTAGTTCTTAATATTGGTCGGTTGTCAATAAATGTCATTATTTCGAGGGGTTATTCGTGGTTTGAAATACAATATTTTTGATAGGAAATTTCGAAGACACTGGATCAGATCATTAAAGAAGGATTATGAATACACCTTGCTGATAAGTGTAAAATTGCACGAAATCTAGTTCCAGGAATCCTTTTCGAGAACCTCCTTCCATCATTCGGCAGTATGTATGCACAGAAGAGTACAGAGATGTCACTGTGGAAAAAGATCAACTAAATGTGCGCAAAAATTGTCACACAATATCCGAGCTACGCTTGTAATCTGCAACAATGAAATATGGAAGTTTGAATAATCCCTTTGATCTGAATATATCAAATCAGGTCAGATAGCTCAGAAATCTCTGCTCACTTGACATTCGTTAGATAGTCATATCTTCGTGTTCACAAACGATGAAAACGCATTTCACAACTATTTAAATAACGACCATATTTTCGAAGTTGAATTGATCAAAACAGTGTTCAAGAATATGGTAAATGACTGTTTAGAAATTGAGAAGAAAGGAAAGCATCAGATCCTTAAACATCTGGTCCAGTGTTTATGAAATTCTAAATGGACATTCTCATCAAAAATTAAACGTACATAAAATGCTTTAATATAATCCTCAATGGGTGAGCAGAATGAAGGAATTAAACAGGAAGTCGTGCCGCATCACATTGGTTTTACACACTAATCTTCTGTGCTTCACTTTGCTTTGCCTTGCATTCAATTGTTTGTTCACTTAGGCAAATATATGAAGTAAATTCATCCGAATAAAACCATGCTAGGCCTATTAACCAACGTCATAAAAGTGTTATTCGTCTGGCATTCATATACGGAGTTCAAAGAAAGATTTATTTCAAAGCACAAATAATTGTTCAGAAAAATGAAGTTAAATCACGGGACACAAAAGAGCTCTATAGGTGTCAAGATCTGGCCAATCAAAAGATCGTAAGGGTTGGTGGGACTCTCAAGACAAATGAAGCGAATGAAATGCCAAACTGTCAATCCCGTAAATTACTTTGGCAGTTGGCAGAAGCTGATTCTTACGCAACGTTTAGCATTGGGTCGGAGAGAATTTTACACCAGATATGCTGGCCTTATTGCCTAAAACTGATTGGAAATCTAGAACTTTGTAATCCTCCTCATCAAACAAGTGTCTGTCGTCTGCATATTCTACGCCACAAATGAGTGTTCTAGCCGGTGGTCAACTCTTGAGATATCTTTACGAAACTGGCAAATCTGAAAGTATGTTCACGTTGAAGAGTGTCTTTATATCCTAGGACTTGTCAAAGTGTGAATATTAGGTGTATACGTGCACGTTCAAGTCCATTTGCATTCTGATGATCGGTCGTTATGAACTCGATTCGTCAAACTAGATTTCATCGTATCACGATAAATGTCAAGTGAATGCTAACCAATGACAATCTCTGGCTTATGGACACTATTCGGAGACGTGGTTATTATCTTTTTCCAATTACATTAAACGATTATCTTAATTTATCAATCATTGTTACAACACGATTGGAAACACTGAAATCCGTTTCTGTCTAATAAGGCAATCATCAGCACCCATTGTTTCAGTCTGTAACAGCCTAGATACAGAGCTCATTATGGTTTGTTTGGAGAATATTGCTATTACCACAACTCACAGCCACATTGCTTAGACACAGATAGTAATTTCAAAGTCGGGACTAAGTGATCGATTCCAGCAAGATTACACTGCTTCGTATCTGAAAAAGAACCAGCCACTGGTACATTGTCGGTGAAACATCAACAACACAAGTTAAAGAATAAAAAAACCAATGACTTGTAAACGACTATACATTGAAATGCTGAGACTGGAAAAAACTTTCGAGTATTCTGTTTGAATGGTGGAGCGTTCAAATGTTTCGGTAAACATTTCATTCAGAATACATACTTTATTGAGATTTCATCCAACTAACTGCATTCAGTCAGCGAATCCTTGCCTTATTAAGGAAACTAACACAATCGAACTTGATCTTTGCGTGAGTACTTGGTTGTGACAAATAGTTTCATGTTGTTTCACGATGAATCTTTAAATGCGTAAGCTCTCAAGACGTCACAACGGTTCATCTCTAAAGAAATAAACTTTGTCTTTATTCATTGGTAGAGAGTCTGAGTAACAACTTGGACAAAAGTGAACATTCGAAGACGGAACACTTATGTTGTAAGTTGCTTTAAGAGAAGGCACACATTCGTTTACTCGCAGATACAGGACTTGTCAGTATGTGGTTGTATCCACGCAGATATTCAGGGATAACGTTGAAATATTCAGTGAATTTCACGTTCTATTCTTGCATAGAATATATCCACTACAGTTTTGACTATTATTCTCCCCTACCAAAACTTATATCTCGCGTATTTACCTCTTCAAATTATCGCTGTTACTGCTGTTCAGTGATAGCCATGATAACAATTCTGGTAGACGCATGGATTTTGAAGTTATTGGTGGGTCAAAAATCTCAGTCTGCAGCGACAGAATGCCAACCAAACACCTCTTCTAAGTCTTCAACAAAAAATCAGGACAACACTTCTAGCCAGAATGGAAATCGAAATAGGAATAAGATAAAAAGGCATCCGAAGACTGAAATGCTTGAAATAAGCAGTGCAACCCTAACATAAACTCTGCCGTCTGTCTGATGAAGGGCCAGTACGGCTCTGAAGGGAAAGCCTGTTAACCAAAATTAACTTGAGACTGGACACAAGTTGCAAAATAAATCCACTTTGCTCTTGTTCAAACCATCTTCCTCGATCATAGTCAGGCACTACGAACCTTCTACTATCGCTACCATCATGTGATCTGAACTGACAGTTGCGTCTCTGTGCTGATGCGGTATGGCAACCTGAACCTATGTACTGATCTACGAAGTTCTACCTTGTAACTGACTGACTGACTGAGTAATAATAATGATTAAAGCGGTTGGTTCTTATTATTTCCAACTGATTATAACCATTGTATATAATACATAAATTCACGACCAGATCTATAAGTGGCATGTTTTTTTGATAGATTTTCTATTTCTGATCCCTGCTCAAATGTCCAAAATATATAAATATTTATATATATATTTGTTTCGCGAGAGTGGCTGACTCGAGAATATAACTACAGGAAAGTTCAACCGTTTCTCCACATTGTTACAGTATAGTAAACTAGCAGTGGATCATTTTATCCTATCTATAGTTTGCAAAATAGTTCAATTAAATACCTTTTACACTTGTAGTTCTGGATATTTTTCATAGGTCACCTAATGTCTCAGCTCTTTACACCACTGTACTCAATCTTTGCAGATATTTTGTCACTCGCAATGTTAGCGTAGTTGAGATTAGCAGACACCGCTCAAACAACAAACATTGCTTAATATTCATTATCGCTTTACGCCCCTGAAAACATTCTACTACCACCTTATTGCTGAATGTGAGTGAACATCTGGATGAAATATTAACCAAATATCCTGTTACATAGTTTATCATCACTGACAAGGCGTGGAACACATTCCATAAAACTCCATTAACTAGTGTTGTAAATTAGAGAAATGGAAGAAGAACACAAATTGGCAGTATAAATGGTTTGGCTTAAATGACCACCTGTTATATTAACCAAAACTTTTAATTCACTGAATTTACTTATACTACTTAAACACTAATAAGTGATCTACCAAGAAATAGAAAAAAAGAAAGAAATATAGTTATGAAATGAAAAAGATTATATTAATACATTCCAGATTCCGATAAAGATTCGAGAACTGACTCTGCAGTATCAACATTCAATTCATAATTGAAACCATCATCATAAGGTGCATGATATGAAGGTAACAGAATACGATTAAAAAACCTTTTACAAAGTACAACATATAAATGGAATGATTTCTTCTTGAAATTGTAATTCACCATTTCATGCTTATCAATAAGACACAGAAATTTTATCCAATTTAAAAATATGCCGAAATTATGCGGATTACGATAAATTACTCCACGTTGTTTTAATACTTGTGTGAATTTTGCATTGATATGACGTTCAATACTTGTCTCACCATTACGAATTAAATATGTATGCCAAATGCAGAGAGCCATTACTAAAGGAATTGCAATGAAACCGAAAATGAAACATCCTTTGAATAGTCGAATAAGGAATTCATTTGACGATAAATATTTGTGCTGATTGAACCAAATCGATGAATATTTTGCAGTTATATTGATCTATGCATTAGAAGTAGAAATGTAAATGAAGTAAAATACACTTATGATATATATATAGCTGTTAGACTACTACTATTCAAATTCCCAAAACAAGTATTACGTATACCCAACCGCCGACTACCTCGAAGAGCGATGTTGTCTGTGGTAGAAATAGGTTGTAAGAAAACTGATGGCGGCCACAGCAAAACATGGCACAAATCCATGAAGCTACTGACAAGTGGACTGAGCCATGTTGGTAGATGTAGACTACCTGGTTAGGGTTCTCGAGACGACAGTAACCGATGGTTAGAGACCTTGAATTTCATGGCTCAAAATAGTTTGCGATGGCGTAGGTGCATGCACGTTCTGTGTACTCTCAATTTCTAATCTTTCGAATTCCTCACCACCTTTGTCTTTATCTTTCCACATTTTTCTTGCGGAATTATACTTCGTGAATAATATATTCAAACCTCAATCTATCCGATTACTGTGAATGATTCTATCATTACCACTATTGGATTTGAACTGACAGTTGCGTCTCTGTGCTAATGTGGTACGGCAACCTGAACAGATGTACGTAAGTACAAAATTCTACGTTCTAACTAACTGACCGAATATCTCCATGATAGATTTCTAATGAGCGGCTGTAACTTTTAGTAAGCACCAAGTTATAAGCACAAACGAATATCTACAGATATAATTAGATGATTGACGGAGAAATATGAATTATTGAATTTCGACAAATCACCGAAGTAGTAACGAATACATTGAGAGATAAAAAAAATTCGAACGTTTCACTGTGAATCGATTCGTATGTAACAGAATAGAATGTAACTTGAGACCAAAATATCAACGTTTTTATATAACTGATTTCCAAACAGCCAGTGAAATAATTATTATTGTTTACTGTATCCAATTAAAATACACGTAATCAAAAAGTCACAGTTGTTTTTCTTTGCTTCTAAGATTTAATCTTAATTTCTAAATTAAAAAGTTGGTAGGAAAAAATCTTAATAATACGTATCAATTGTTGAACCAATGACTTCTGACTGAGTACAGTCAAACAGACAGAAAGCATATGAAAATTCGAGGAGAAATTTCCATCGGTCCAAACCACCAAACATGCTATTAACATATGTTATATGAAAGAGAAATATAGCATGATGTAAGGCTAAGATGGTTACAATTTAAGACTAGATGTACTTACTTCAACACAGTATAATATTTGCAGTAAGCATTGAGCTGAATAGCTGTTATCTTAAACACTATCCACTGAGCTACAAAGTTCAAATAATCACTAACATATTTATTTCCTAAGAAAAAATTGTTAATAACAGTTCGAATTGGTTTTGTGATTGAAATCAATAAATTCTAAATAGATGAAACTTTAGTAGTAAGAACTATAGCTTGAAAAAAAAAACGAAAACGTTGGATGAAAATTATGAACCAACTTCATATTCCAGATTTAAGTGAATATATCTGCAATAATCTCATCTACTTTTACTCGTATTTAATGTCCTAATTATGAATGACGGTAATAGCATTGAACTCAAATAAAAAGTCACAATCTTCTTGATTAATCTAATGTCTTTATAACGTCATTTCAAGCCTTTTTACAAGTAACTTGAAGAAGGCAGTGACATATCCAGCCATTACATGTTGTAATTGATTACAACTTTCAGGTGAGTGTCTAAACCTGGCTAGTACCATATGCCTAACGTCAACATTTTCTATTCCATAGTTTCATAGTACAAACCGAAGGTATACATCTTTTTCAGATAAAAACTCAACCAAAAGACTTAATCATACTGTGAAGAGTCTGTCAAGACTGCTGGAGTTCCAAGCAGACATTATATCAGCCTATATCAGGTCCAGTTCTCGGCCACTGAACATCATTGCGAATTACCTATGTTTCTGAATGGTCAAAATAACCTTGGCATTTCTTCACTGATTTCTGAAATACTCTTTAAGGAGTCATCAGATGTTCGTTGTCGTGATTAATTGTTGAATTAGATCTAAAAAAAGCAAAACATATCTCTTCTTATTTGACTTACACTATTCCTCTTGTTGAAGTTTGTTGCATTGATATGCGTATGAACCAATACATTGATAAATAGATTTGGGGGATGATACATTTTTGTTTGGCTTAATTGTCATTAAATCAGGCAGGAATAAGCGAATCAAACATTTTGTGATGTACATGCAATCAGATAGAAAATACATTTTCATTATTCCAAAAAAATTAGTATTTAGTGGTGATCATAGTGAATCTCGGCTCCGTCACAACTAAACTTATAAATAAATAAAAGCCGTGTGAATGAAAATGATTTGCTTATTTGTACAGTTGACTTCGAGTAACACGACCGGTTTGACAAATGATGAAATCACCTTAAATTCGGCTTGATAAATACTTCGTGATGTTTCAAATGGGCATTTCCTTGGCCTAAATATCTAATCTATTCACGAGTTCGAAGGTATACGAACGAAAACCCCTTCCGTCTAAGGTAACTTTAGAGTCGGCTCTAGTTGCCAGATTAATTCCTATAACATCTCAAATACCTATGTACAAACACTTCTACCTAATCTGATTCACTGTTGCGAAACCATGATCAATAATGGGAGCTTCTAGTACATCAATAGGAATCTATTAGCAAATTTATACGGTGTTTCACGGAGTGCCTGAGCTGGTCAGAGGTAACTTTAATGAAACTCACCTATAAAATAAGTAACTATGGTGGTGGCTATCACGTCACACAAACGAAAAGCCATATGGAAACCCTCAAATTTTCATTACCTGTAAACTGATGATCAGCTACTGATTGGGTATGTCCGTTTCCGCAACCTTGAAGAAAAAGTAACGACCGCGACGCAGGCATGTTTAACGTGGTCACAAACCTAATGCTCAGGAAGAACAAAAACAAGATCTACCTTTTCTACATCAGAGCAAACAACACGTCCATGAGCATGTTCGAAACGCTCCATGGCCGAAAGAATGGTTCACAAATTCGAAATTGCACAAGGTTTAGTTGTTATTTGAACTGTCAGTGATTCATCTATGAACGGACAATTCATTTATGCACACAATAACATTTCATACATATAGTTCCTTTATATTATCCTGTAGAGAGTAAATGCAAAGCTTGAGTCATTTAGTGATCATACGTTCTGCACTCATCGTTTTTTTACTCTCTTCTTTGTATTATGATTATTATTTGCCGTTGTTGTGATAGGAATTTATATTCATTTCAGTATTCTATTTAACAGTGATTATTGTCAATTAAACGGTGTAGTAAGTGACTGAGTCCTGTTACTCATACGTTGCTTTTTGGGAAGCTGGGCGCGAAAGCGTGCAGGTATACATACCTGGTGACCGGAACCTTGAAAGATATTGATATAAAGATAATAATTGCGCGACATACAGCATATTACAC